GAAATTAGGAAAAGCGCTGTGAATCATTTTAAGAAAGTTGTTCAGTTGAATATTAACCCCCCTGTACCTGCTCAGACCTTGCCTGCCTCTACGCATCAGATCAGTATGGTGAGGCAGAGTATTGCTTCCAGAAAGAATCCAGTAAGGATCTCTCTCCAGTGGACAGACAAGCGCTCACCTGCTCTATGAGCACTCTCAGAGGCCAGCAGATGTGCAAAGACACCACCATCTGCCATTACCCAGAGGGCTGCACCACAACCTCAAGTTAAAACTGAGAAGGAAAAACTGATCCTAGACCTAAGAAGACTTGCCAGACTCTGAAAACGCCTCAGACATTGTGGGCTGGCAAGTCTCTAGATTCCTTCCTGAAGTGACTAGGAAAGGGCACCCAAGAACTGATGGCTGTTGGACCATCCAGCCTCCAACCCTGGCAGATTTGTCCCTTCCTCATCTCTGGCTGAAAAGGGCAGTAAGGAAATGGTAGAGGGTGCAGGTGGGCCCATGACTCAGAAAAGCAGGAAGCCCTAGAAAGGCCATAAACACGCCTCTGGGCTTCACAGAGAGAGCAGGGAGAGCAAGAGAGGCCTGGTATGGTGGGCACGAAGGGGAGGTTAATAGGGGAGACAGAGAATCTGAAACCTCACAGGAGTGCGGCTGAATGGTAGGACATTTCATTTTGCTGTTGCTTTTTCCTGGTTCTGAAAATTCTCTCATCCAAATCTGGAAATTTGGAATCACATTTCCTCTGCTATATAGATATTTTGGGGGCTTCTCTGGTGGCTCAGAAGATAGAGAATCTGCCTGCAACGCGGGAGACCCAGGTTCAATCCCTGGGTCGGGAAGATCCCCTGGAGAAGGGAATGGAAACCCATCCCAGTGCTCTTGCCTGGAGAATTCCATGAACAGAGGAGCCTGGCTGGCTACAGTTCATAGGGTGCAAAGAGTCAGATATGACTGAGCAACTAACACTTTCACTTTCACAGAGATTTTTGAACAAATGCTGCCTTGAGGGAAAGGACTTGCTTCGGGACTATATGATCCCGGCTTATTCTGTTTGTGTCGTCCAGATTTCCCAGCTCTCACACACTCAGTGACTTGCACAAGGCCTGACACACAGCATACACGCAACATTCGCTGAGTGAATGAGTGACTAGAACATCACTCTAGGCTGGTCCTCTTTCCTCACTCTTTAAACTCCAAAATAAATTCCATGCACATCAAAGTTTTAAATGTTTAAAAAACAGAAATCATAAAATTACTACCAAAGTGCTTGAGATATTTGTAATCATGGGGTCTAGAAGGTATAAGTATGAAAAAACACAAAAGGGCATAAAATATTAATACATATACATTAAAAACATATTTCATAGAAGAGATACCTTCAGAAAGGCAAAAGATAAACAACAAACAAAAATACTATCTCAACACATTACTAGGTAAAGGACTAATTTCCTTAATGCTGAAATAGTTTCTGTTAATCAATAAGGAAAAACTCAGTGGGAAAATGAACAAAGGTCAGGAACAGACAGGAAATGAAGAAAGCTTGTAAACATGTAAAATGATACCACTATCACTTTTGTTAAGAGCAAAGTAGGCCAACACTACAAGGGAGACTGTCTCAGGTCAACAAAGAAAACGCCTTTCCTAAGCGTATACTAAAAAGGACTTGGATACAGGCTATATCATGCACTGCCATTGAGATTAGAAATTGTATAGGTAGAGGGAATTTGTTGATGGTTATTAAGTGTTTGTGGATCTTTCCACAGCAATTTCACTCATTAATTTACTCTGTATTTGCATATGTATGCAAAGATGTGTACATGGATGTTCATGAAGCTTTGTTTATAATAACAAAGGACTGAAAATAACTACCATCATTAGGGGCCTTACTTATTCAATATTAACATTGCATAACATGAAACAGCATGTCCATATTTTTAAGAAAAGAATTCTAAATGTAATAATACAGATTATAGCTAAGATGTATTTAAAAAATAAGAAAACGAAAGTGCAGAAAAGTGTGTACGGAATGCTAATGTTATTTCCCAATATTAGCTTCGTCCATCCCATATGCTTTTCAGTTTTGAAGGGCTCACTTCTCTGTCATCAGATGTGTGAAAGTTTAATCTTGCAATCAGATTGTAAACTCCAGAAAGGCAGGAACCAGGCTTTTTATTTCATAGTGATACTTACCTTCCCTGACTTTGAGGGGCAATTTTAGCTGGTATTGCTTGGGCCTCACATGAATCTTGGGGTCTCTGCCTACAGCGCTGTAGTAAGCACAAAAGGAGTCTAAAAGTAGGTGCACAGATGGGCTGGAATCTGTGAAGAACCCTTGAAGCTTTGCCCAGACTGGGGGAGGCAGCTGGCAAGAGAGGTGAAACTGCTCCTGCCACTAATTTCAAAAACTTTCTTCAAGAATTCATATCCACACAGAGGACACTCAATCCACACATTTCCTCTAATTACTCTCGCTGTCTCTTGTACCTTTAAGTGGTCTTTTTCATCTCTCTTTTACCTACCAATGCTACCATGAGATTATGTATTTTTCAAACTCTCTTTACACTCAGAACCAAACATTGACAAATATCTGAGGCATTCTTTGAGAGTATTAATATTTTGAATATATTAATATTTTGAAAATATTAATACTCTCCTAATATATTAGGAATGCTATCAACAAAAGTTTTGTGTGAGTTTTGTGTGAGTATAGGAGTCTCTGGGACCAACAAAGTGAAAACAGAATGTCTAGGTCAGGCAGGAGAGGTGAGAATAACAGAGAAAATGAATGAACTCCCAGAGGTTGGAGTCAGGGATATGCAGAACAATGGCAAAATTGTTCCCATCAGAGAGCAGAATCAGGGTCTAAGAAACTTCCACCATTGCCAGGATAGAGGATCTTCAGAATACCTACCCATCAGAATGTCATCATTGCTACAGACTTCCGCCTTCTGAGATTTTTCCATGTTCCCTTTTTTCAACTGAGAGTATTTATTACAGTTACCATGCCCCACCATTGCATGTGGTACACATGAATTATCTTATCTAGTCTTTTAGGTTTTTTAATCATCAGACTGAAAGGAGTCACACCCAGATCATTGGGGAGAACAGGGAATCACCCACAGATCCCTGATCATGAGCTGGGTGCAATGACTGCCTTGATTCCCAAGGGCTGACTCCCTTGGAAAGGTCTGAGTATGTTTGGAAAGAAGGATACATCTTGGGTATTTAGGACCAGAGCAAGATAACCATGGTCCAAACAAATTAGGGCTCCTACTTGCACAGTATGAAGTTGTCATTGGTAAAAGCGGTCCCCAGTTTGAAACTACATTTTTCCAGCCTTCCCTTACATTTAATTGGTCCCCGAATTGCTGGTCCATGAATTCCACCTGAGAATTTCTGGTCCATGAATTCCACCTGAGAATTTCTGATTCATTTGGTCTGGACTGGAGCCTGAGAATTCACATTTCTAGCAGGGCCCAGGTGATGCTGATACAGCTGGTGGTTGATAACAGTGTTCAAACTAAGGCATTACACCACTTTGTAGCTGATACAGCCCCTGATGCATTCCTATTGTGAAAGCATTATACACAGGCACTGGCCACACAGATTTCTAAAGAACAAACCAGCACCTCTACACTTTGAAACACAGTGAACATTTACTTTCTCTGTGCCTCTCCCCAACCAGGACCTTTATTAACAAGACTTACACATTTCTATCCTATAGTTTTCTTGAATGCAAATTCAAAAACCAAAAAAAAAAAAAAAGCCACAGTGTTCTAGTTCCCTAATCAGCATTTCTTGTACATCTGACTTGCATTTCTATAAATACATCATAGAACTTGTACATAGAACTAGAACTTGTAACTCTTGAGTGGGACCTACAAGTAAGGGTTACCAGCTTAGCTGTAATCCTAATGAAATGGTAGGGAATTTCTAAGAAGCATAGGTTCTGCTTCTACCTTACCCTAGGCAGAAAAATCCACCATAAATAATTCTTCCCCCAAAACTGAAAAACCTGCCTTAGCAACCTCGGTTTAACTGGGAATGTTTCACCTGTTCTCTGTGTAATTTCCTGACCTCAAAGACAGTTGGTGTGGTTACCTTTTCCCTCTTGGGTCTATGTAGATTGTAATTCCTTTATGATTAGGGATAGGCATAAGGATAAAGCACATTTCCTCTGTTATAACAAACCACTCTGGCTGCAAATTGTATGTGCAGATGCTGAATTCTAAGATGACTCACAGGGATTCAAAATGTGTAGCTCAGGAAAGCCAAGAATGTGTAGAGATGCTAGGAATTGTTTTTCTTTGGTTAATGATTCACTCCATGATGGATCGTGGAATGTCAAACTGAGGCTCTGGAAAAGGCAAATATCAGAAGTTTCCTTGATGGTCTCTTTGGTTCATGAGTTTAGTTATTAATTATAATAAACACTGACACTTATTATGTTCCAGGCATTATTCTAATGTATTAAGCCATTTGATCCTCACAACAAACACCACAAGGTAGTGGTAGTATCTTCATTTCACAGGAAAAGAAACTAAAGCACAGAGACATTCAGTAATTTCCAGTGTCACCACATATAAATGAAGCCTGGTTTCCAATGCAGATAGACTGACATCAGAGCCCACAGTTCCAATCACATATACATTCATTCAGCTACTACTTTGTGAATGCCTGCCATGTGCCGGGTGTGACTGCAGGAACCGGAGATTCAGTACTGAGTAAAATAGAAGAAAAATCCTGCCCTGTGGAAGTAACATAACTTCATCACAGGGACCAGCAGGACTTCCCAAGTGGCGCTAGTGGTAAAGAACCCTCCTGTCAATGCAGGAGACATAAGAGACGTGGGTTTGGTCCCTGGGTAGGGAAGATGTCCTGGAGGAGGGCATGGCAACCCACTCCAGTATTCTTGCCTGAAGAATCCCCATAGACAGAGGAGCCTGGCGGGCTACAGTCCATGGGGTTGCAAAGAGTCGGCTGAAACGACTTAGCACACACCCAGCATGCACAGGGGCCAGCAGGTCATCTTGCTGTTAATAGTGGACAGAGTGAAGATGGGTTAACATTCCAATAATGAGGCAGAGTGCTTGGTAACTGTATCCTTCCCGGAGCTGGGCTCAGTTGATAGCAGCTGATGTTAAGACATCAAAACAATTCACAAAGAACTGACTCACTGTGGGGGGAGGGGGAGGAAGGCACCCTATCAGTTTGGCTCTCACTTAGCACTCAAGATTCATTTCCTCTTCGAGTCTTGTCAATTTCAGTTTCCAGTTTCATTTTCTCTTTCCTAAAGTTTATTTAGGCAAAGGAATCTGGTGATGCATTCATATATAGGTCTCTTAACACTCCAACTGAAGCAGAGAAGGAAGATTTCTGAAGAGCGCAGTAGCCTGAACTGCAGCCTTTCAGAACAGCTGAGAAGTGCACGGCAATCATGAGGTAAAAGACTCTCTCTTCTCTGACTGTGTTGAAAATGCTTAAGCCTTCTTGTTGTGGAAACTGAATTGTCAATAGCCATGCTCCTAAAAGGCAAATTTCTAGGTTGTTTTGCTTTAGTTTAGATTATAGCCTTATGACTCATCTATCTTCTGTAGGTCTTTAGGATTTTGGCTTGTTTACTCCTAAATTATTTCTGCCTCACACTGTCTAGTTTCCTACAGGGATCTCTCACGGAAGCTGAGAATTGAGGCTGGAGAACAATGAGGCAGGAAGGGAGGGGCAGAAGGGGAGAGATTAAAGCAGGCAGGTGCTTCACTTAAAGGTGGATCTAGAGAAATTGCTCCTGCAGACTGCCCTATGTTTCTTATCCAAAGGAATAAGTGAGGGGCTTTTAATAATATTGTTTTTTTATGATCTAAATATTTTTCATTTATTTTAAATGAAACAAAAATGAATATTTTAATGATAAAAGGTACAATTCACAAAGAAGATAGATAATCATAAATCATTAGACACCCAACAACAAAGAAACAAAGATACATGCAGCAAAAATCAGAAGACATATAAGGGAAAAGAAAAAATATATATAACCACAGTGAGACATGTCTCTTTTTAGCAGATATTGTTAAAAATGTACTCAGGGTAGCAACCTCACTTCATGCTAAGGTGGAACATTTTTAATGTGTTCATGCATCTCAGATTTGCATTAAGGCTGGCAAAATAACAAATATTTTCACCCCCAAATTCTACTGACTGGCTAGCATCCTCCTACCTGACATAAGAATTGGAGATGAACTGCTTGGAGAAAACAGTCCCCACCTCTAAAATCTTCTCATATCCCAGAAACATCAGATTTCCCTGGGGAGGAAGAGTTCACACAGTGAGTAGGAAGAAAGATTTCTATTCTATTTTCTCCAGTTTAAGGGTCAAAAAGTCAGACTATATAGCTAAGCCTCAGTCCTAGGAGCTCCAGAATCTAGGAATACCAGCCCTGGTACTTACTTCCTAGAGGAAATATATTTTTTCTGCTAGTTTGCACCTCTGTCTGATAGGAAGAAAATAATAATTTGAGATACTTCCAGATGTCTGTTTCTATAGTAACTCAGAATCTTTAGAAACCTTCTTCCTGTTTCTTAGAATTTTAATATGTCCTTGTCTTAGAATCTTTCCCATTAATAATACTGACCCACCAGTTCATCTTCTCATTTCCTTTGATTCTTTAGCTATAGGGATTGTCATTGGGCATTGCTTCTGTGGTCTAAGAGAATGGTCCTCAAACTTGAGCCTGTGTAAGATTCACAGAGAGCTTGTTAAAGACTGATATTTGAGCTCAAATACTAACTTCCCCAAATCTCAAGACTGATTTGGTAGGTCTGGCTTGGGATCCAAGCCTGTGCATTTCTAATAGGCTCCCCCACCCCCAACCCCACCCTGGTGGTGCTGGTACTGCTCTAAGACAATGTGGGGGCGGCACTGGCTCTGAGCCTTGGCAGACAGTGGGATTGTGGCTTTCATCCAGACAAGAAGCAAGGGGAGAAATTGTTTGCTGTGTAAATACTTGGAATTTCTAGGGGCATCAGGAGCACAAATCTCACAAGTCTAAGTTCAAGACGCAAGGATCTGGGACCAGCTTCTGATTTACCAGTAGAAATAAAAACTCAAAACCGCACAGTAAAATTGGATGCCTTTTGAATGACTACTCAAAAGAATTTAACATACATGTATATATTAAATGTATTTATCTTCCAAATGTAGAGTTGACTATATGTATTGTATGTGAGAGATAATCTCCACTGTATTCACTGTCTCTGCTCCTTGTACACAATGAGAAAAGAGTTAAAGAACCCATGTGCTAATAAGTAAGAGAATCTTCCCATAACCTCGCTAAGAAGGAAGAGACCAGATTGGACATAAACTTTTCAAGGAGAGGCTGGTGTCATTACAAGGTCAGATAGCAAAAGTGAGGCTCTCTCCTGGCCCACATCCTCTGTGTTACATCAAGAGCCTCAGACAACCTTGATCTTCATTCAGATCTTCCTGATCCCTGGTTCGAGAATATCCCCTGGAGGAGGGCATGGCAACCTACTCCAGTATTCTTGCCTGGAGAAACCCATGGACAGAAGGCTTTGAAAAGACAAGAGTTTGTCCCTAAGCAGAAACTCCTACCCATTTTCCCTCCTATTTTTTGTTTATTCTACTTGGGTAATTGTAGCTCCATTTGTTACAAGTAACAGAAATGAGCAGGAACTGATTTAAAGTTCCTAGAATGGCCCACAGAACCCGTGCACAGGACGCTGATGACCCCAGGAGGACTAGAACAGGACACTGGTGAGCTTGAGGGACCCAGTCACTGAGTCTTCTCCATGTGTACCTGGGTCACTCTCTCTGCAGCAGGTCAGACAGAACATGTCCACCATCAGACCCCAGCGTGCACAGCACTCTTCTTAACATATGAAGACTCATGAAGACTCACTGACTCCCTCTCAGTTCCATTTCCAGCTCCCACTTGAATCTGGGTACCTGGCCCTGGTCCAATCAAATTGAGGGGAGGTATAAAAAGTGAAAGAGAGTAGGAAAAATGAAAGAACATAATCTTCCGTTTAGACGATTATTTCAAAAGTGATCCTAGCCACATAACAAGACTTCCCAGACTTCTATTGGTTGTCTATGTCAGAATCCATAATATATAGAATATCAGCTTCTGATAAGAGAACTGATTAATGTATATCATGAAAAAAATTTTTAAGTGAGAATAAACAGCATTTCAGGGCCCCTAATACATAGACAATATTGAAAACAATTTTAGGTAATGAATTATTTTTAACCTACTCTTTTCCAAATTTATTCAAGATAGGGGTTTCATTTGATTGCTTTTCTGTTGGTTGGTTGTTGCTTATTTATTTACTTGTTTGTTTATTTAGTGGACTAACACAAAGGAATAAAAAAAATCTTTCCAGAAGAGTTGCAAAGGCACCCTCAAGGAGAAAGAGCATTTCTCATAATGAAAGATGTTAGCTACCCATCACACTCCTGTAGCCCCTTGCTTGCTCTCTTTCATGAAAGTGTGTGTCCGTGCATAGTTGCTTCAGTAGTGTCTGACTCTTTGCGAACTTATGGACTGTAACCCACCAGGCTCCTCTGTCCATGATGGGATTCTCCAAGCAAGAATATCGGAGTGGGTTCCCATGCTCTCATTCAGGGGATCTTCCTGACCCAGGGATCGAACCTGTGTCTCTTATGTTTCCTGCACTGAATCTACTGGGTCTTGATTGCTTTCCACTCAAAACAATCCACTTGCCAAAACGGCACATTTTGGGAAGACTTGTTCTAAACTCCTTCAAAAGCAAACCATAGGAGGGTCAAAGTTAAATTTCAAAGGAAAATTAAAACAAGTACAAAATTATTAATAGATCAATTCAGTGAAACATGTTAAGAAAAGGAATTGCCAAAGAAATAACACATTGAATGGCTCTTCGTTTCTGTATTTCCTTCTTCCCGAGCATTTACTTTTGTATTTTGAAATTTCAACTGTATAATTTTATACTTTTTTACTGTTTTAATAAGGACATCCTTATTGTGCTTCTGAACTTCAACTGTATTTTCTCTTTGATGTTTTAAATTCTTTAGTTCTCCCTACTTTGTCTTTTTTTTTTTATTTCTATTACTTCGTGTTTCCTGTCTAATTACGTGAGCTTGTCATAAATCCTTAAGTGATTTTCTTTGTCTAGCAAACTTTTGGAGCTTTTATCAAATTGGTTTTGTTGGTTTGTTTGTTTTTTTTTTTCCATTTATTTTTATTAGTTGGAGGCTAATTACTTTACAATATTGTAGTGGTTTTTGTCATACATTGACATGAATCGCCATGGAGTTACATGTATTCCCCATCCCCATCCCCCCTCCCGCCTCCCTGCCCATCCCATCCCTCTGGGTCTTCCCAGTGCACCAGGCCTGAGCACTTGTCTCATGCATCCAACCTGGGCTGGTGATCTGTTTCACCCTAGATAATATACATGTTTCGATGCTGTTCTCTCTGAACATCCCACCCTTGCCTTCTCCCACAGAGTCCAAAAGTCTGTTCTGTACATCTGTGTCTCTTTTTCTGCCTTGCATATAGGGTTATCGTTACCATCTTTCTAAATTCCATATATATGCATTAGTATACTGTATTGGTCTTTATCTTTCTGGCTTACTTCACTGTATAATGGGCTCCAGTTTCATCCATCTCATTAGAACTGATTCAAATGAATTCTTTTTAATAGCTGAGTAATATTCCATGGTGTATATGTACCACAGCTTCCTTATCCATTCGTCTGCTGATGGGCATCTAGGTTGCTTCCATGTCCTGGCTATTATAAACAGTGCTGCGATGAACATTGGGGTGCACGTGTCTCTTTCAGATCTGGTTTCCTCGGTGTGTATGCCCAGGAGTGGGATTGTTTTTTTTTATTATTTTGACAGTCTATATTCTTTTTCCGAAGTTTTCTATTTTGACCATTACTTCTTTAAAACTACATAAAAATCAAAGCTGAAATCAGTTACCAAGGATCTGGCTGCTCCTGCAGAGACCCTCGGGCTTCCCCAATGTCACTAGTGGTCAAGAACCTGCCTGCCAATGCAAGAGATGTAAGAGACGCAGGTTCAATCCCTGGGCCGGGAAGATGCCCTGGAGGAGGGCATGGCAACCCACTCCAGTTTCTGGCCTGGAGAATCCCATGGACAGAGGAGTCTGGTGAGCTGTCCAGCCCATAGGGTCACAAAGAGTCAAAGTGACTTAGCATGCACACATGCACATAGAGACCCTCGCAGAAAGCCAAGAGCCAGCATTCCTAACAAAGATTCCCTTATTCGGGAGAGACTGGACTCAGGCTCAGATTCCTGCCCCACTGCCCTCTCCCTAATTCTTTTTAAAAAATATTTATTTATTTTACTGTTGACTGTGTTGGGAGGGCTCTTCCTGCAGCAAGCAGACTTCTCTCTAATTGTGACTTGAGGGCTCTGTGTTGCCCCAGGGCACATGGGATCCCTGACCAGGGATCAAACCTGTGTCCCTTGCATTGGAAGGCAGATTCTTAACCACTGCACCACCAGGGAAGTCCCTTCCTAATTTTTCTGCTGCCCGTGATCACCCCATTTCTGCTTCCCTGTGTATTTACCACATATACCAAGACTGGAAAAAAAAAAAAAGGAAAGGATATTCTTTTTTTTTTGGATGCACTACGCACAACATGGGATTAGTTCCCTGACCAGGGATCAAGCTGCAGATGCCCCCTGTCGTAGAAGTGTGGAGTCTTACCACTGGACCACCAGTGAAGTCCAAGGAAAGGATACTCTTTTTTTTTTATTATTATTAGAGTTAACACTGTTAAGGAGAAGGAGAATCCTATTTGTCATGCTCCCCTTTTCTCGTGGGTGAACCTGTGCTATGCCTTAGAGTGTTCATTTCTGTTTTTCCTTCACAGTGAGACCACCAAGAACTCCTTGGAGCATAGTCTACAGCAGCTCAAGAGCCATTTCACCTGGAACTTGGTAGAGGGAGAACATTCTTTGGATGGTTTTGAAGACAGAGTATGTAACCAGAATGAGTTTCAGAACAGTGAATTCAAAGCCACAATGTGCAACATACTGGCCTACATAAAACACCGCAGAGGCCAGCATGAGGCAGCCCTGGAATGCTTACGGCAAGCCGAAGAGTTCATCCAGCTAGAGCATGCTGACCAGGCAGAGGTCAGAAGCCTGGTCACCTGGGGAAACTACGCCTGGGTCTACTATCACTTGGGAAGATTCGCAGAAGCTCAGCTTTATGTAGACAAAGTGAAACAAGTCTGCCAGAAGTTTTCCAGCCCCTACAGAATTGAGAGTCCTGAGCTGGACTGTGAGGAAGGGTGGACACGGTTGAAGTGTGGAGGAAACCAAAACGAAAGGGCCAAGGTGTGTTTTGAGAAGGCTCTGGAGAAGAACCCCAAGAACCCAGAGTTCACCTCTGGACTGGCCATCGCGAGCTACCAGCTGGATAACAAGCCACCATCTCAGAATCCCATTAACCCTTTGAGGCAAGCCATTCGGCTGAATCCTGATGACCAGTATGTCAAAGTCCTCCTGGCCCTTAAACTTCAAAAGATGAATAAAAAAGATGAAGGAGAGAGATTAGTTGAAGAAGCTTTGGAAAAAGCCCCATTGGCCACAGATGTGATTCGAGGGGCAGCAAAGCTGTATCGAAGAAAAGGTGACTTGGACCAAGCTATAGAACTCCTGAGAAAGGCTCTAAAATGCATGCCCAACAACATCTACCTGCATTGCCACATTGGGTGCTGCTATAGGGCCAAAGTCCTGGAAGTAGAGAAAATGGGTGGGGAGAGAGAGGAATTACAGGAACTAATAAGACATGCTATAGATCATTTAAAGAGAGCTGATGAGAGTAATGGAAATTTCTTCCGTATCAGCTCCTATCTTGCCTGCCTCCATGCACAAGTCGGTCAGTATGAAGAAGCAGAGTGTTACTTTCAAAAAGAATTCAGCAAAGAGCTTCCTCCTGCAGCCAAACAACTGCTCCACCTGCGATACGGCAACTTTCAGCTGTACCAGAGGAAACAGGAAGACAAGGCCATCCAGCATTTCATAGAGGGTGTGAAAATAAACCAGGGATCAAAGGAGGGAGAAAAAATGAAAAACAAACTGCAAAAATTTGCCAAAATCAAGCTCTCGAAAAACAGAGCGGATCCTAAGGCTTTGCATCTCTTGGCGTTTCTTCAGGAACTGAATGAAGACATGCAGCCAGCAGAGGAAAACTCTGAAAACCTCATCCCTTTAGCATCTTTAGCTGAGGAATGAGGACCTGGAATGTGGTACCCATAGGGCTACTGCTAGAAGGGAGCTGAAACCCCTCCACCAAGTTGGTATTCAAAATATTTAACAATTGGCATAGGCGTGGACTTAGACCCTGGCCACACAGTAGTACTTGATCAAGGTTAGAAAGGAACTCTGCTGGGCCAGTGTTTAGAGATCTAAATTGTGTTCTGGGAGGGGGACTGGACTGGGCGCAGGTCCAGGGGCTCAGTAAAGGGGCTATTTCCCAACTGACCTCTTGGGAACAGTTGACATTCCCTCTGTCGAGTGATATCATGGCTATGTTTCTATAAAGTAATCAGATGTCTCACACCTGTAACACTGTGGTCCCTTTCAGCAATGTTTTTCCGTCTTTGGAGTCATTTTAGATCCTGTACAGGTTGGTCCTGTGATACAGTTCAGGGCAGTCTTCCCTCAAATATGCCAAAATGGCATTTTGATTATTTTGAAGTTATTACTTGAGAAAACAGCCAGTGCAAGGAGAACACTCTGACCCTCCTCTCAGAGCAGGAAATAAATCTTCCATAAGAAAAGTACCCTCACTATGCCAGGAGGCAGAGAGACATCCTTGTCACTGGCCGTAGGGAATTGAGGGCTGGGAAGGCTACATAAACCAGCTCTGCTTAGCCTCTCCACTAATTAGTACCCAAGCCCAAGTTTCTTTGCCTTGCCAGTTCCTCATGAATTTATTATTTCTTTGTCTAAAAGCTGCCAGGTTTGGTCACTTCTTAGGCTGTATACTAGGAGACCTGCATATGTATGAAATTAACTTAGATTTTCTCCTGTTAATTTGTCTTGCATCGATTTAATTATTAGATCAGCCAGAAGAACCCTGAAGGGTAAGCAGAAATTCCCCCTTCCCAACACCCTGCACAGACACTAATGTGCTTTGTCCATCCAAAGGCTGGGGGATAGAAGATTGGGGAGGCCTGGGGGTCCTCTCTCCCTCCCTTCTGCCTTCTGCCCCACCTCCCCAGACAAGTCTTAATCTAGGACTGTTTATACAAACTCTATACAACATGAGTTCAAGCGTCCCATTAACTGAAGGGAGGAAAGAGGTTTTTAAACACACACACACACACACACACACACACACACACAAACAAAAAAAAAGAGAACAGGTCAAATCTGGAAGGAATATAGCTAGAAGAAGTGGGGTCAAGTGACCACAGTACAAGCGTTTCAGGAAGCAGGTGGGGAGGTTTCATCTCTTCTCTGTCCTCCCTGTAACCACAACACAGCAAGTGAGAGTAAAAAGGTAGATTCTGTACGTTAGAAACCAAAATAATGCTTTTCTTTAAAATATCTTGAATTGGTTTATAGTGCTTTTCAGGTCTACTATATCCTTCTACTTCTCTGTATATTCATTCTTTTAATTTTTGAGAATTTGATATTGACACTCCAACTAAAAAAAAAAATCTTAATTTATCTGCTTGAAAAATAATTGTAATATATAGTGGAACTACATGTAACATCTGTATGTAATGTTCTGTATTTTCCAAATCTCCTGTAAATGTGTTATACTTTCATAATTAAAAAAATAAAAAAGAGAAAAAATTCTGACTCTTAAATTTGCCCATGGGGGTTTGAATAAAAAGAAAGGGGGAAAAAAATGTGTATGGAAAGACGTCTTACCAGTAGGGAGAGGGAAAGAGTAGGCGAAAGGGAAGGAGAGAAGAATGCCACTTTGTCATTGTAGATTATAATCTTGTATGGAGAAGACCTGTTTGATGAACTCAGTTGCTTTGATGAGCCCAGATTCAAAATGATAGGAAAGCAGGACAGGGGAATTATTTGGTGATTAAGGACCTAGTGCACGTTTCTGGGAAATGTCATCAATAATGGAGGTTTCCCCCATTAGAAATATTGTGTATTAGGTGATATAAAACTTCATTTAATCCTGAAAGTCTTCAGGGAAACCATAAAAGGCATGGTTTGCCTGGGGCAATTAGGATTTTCTGGGTAAATACTGAATGACCAGGGACAGATATCAAGGTTTGTGTGAACCAAAACAGTCAGGTGACCCAGCAAGAGACCATCAATCACCCTCTGGGTTGCAAAATGACTGCCTCTTGGAATTAAATTTAGATGGTAGTTATCAGGGGCTGGGATGTGGGTGAATAGGAGAGATGTAGTTTAAGGGTATAAACTTACAACAGGTAGATAAATAAGACTTGGAGATTTTATGCACAGAATAGTGAATATCTTTTGTATTAAAAATAGTATAGTGTGCACTTGAGATCATCAGTATACATAGCGTGGATGCCTGAAAAAGTCATTAATAAATAACTTAGATGTGATCAAACATAAAGGTGTGTTCTGATTTTTCTGAAATTTTGCTGTACCTTAAATCTTCCAGACTCAGCTACTGAAAATTGCAATGTTACACTGGGCATAAACTGGTTCCAAATAACACAGACTGGCCTAGCATTGAGAGGATAACAGACAGGAAGGCCAGAGGTCCCCAAGCGGCCGGAGGAAATAAACTGCAAGCTACAGACGTTGTTTCCCTTCTCTCTCTCTCTACACACACACACACACACACACACACACCAAGGCCTGTTTTAATTCTGTGTTGACAACACTTGGTTCTGCCTTGAGCTAACCAATGCGTTTTTCTTATGGAAGGTTTTTCTTAAACTATGTTAATAAAACCATGTGTTTGTTTTGGAATTTGCTTTCTTCAAAATGGTTCCACCTAAGACTGACTTTTTTTCTCTTCTCAAACCTTGGGCTGATAATAGCTCAGCAAACCAGTATTCCTGTCAATTGTTTTATGGCCAGGGGATACACACCTGTGACATCCTATCTCAAAGTGCATAATGGGGGAGAGGAGCCTGGTGAGACTCCCTCAGTCTTGAGGTCTCTTATCTGATTAATAGTTCCCTAACAGACATAAACGGAGAAGGCGATGGCACTGCACTCCAGTGCTCTTGCCTGGAAAATCCAATGGATGGAGGAGCCTGCTGGGCTGCAGTCCATGGGGTTGCATAGAGTCGGACACGACTGAAGTGACTTAGCAGCAACAGGCATAAAACACCTTGCTAAAAACTAGCAAAGGGGCACTCTTTCTTTCCCCCTCTGATGTCTATGTCAGAAGCTTTCCCTAGCTCTACTATATTTTAATAAAACTTTGCTACACAAAGTAGCAAGCCACATCTCTGACCCCAGATTGATTCCTCTGGAGGTCACGAATCCCAGAGTAATGCACAGCTCCCAGCAGCAACCTTTCAACAACCTTTTCACTGAACAGAATAAACATTTTTTTCTACAGCTTTTACAGTCCAGGGCTTTGTCTTATATCCTGATACCACCACCAGGTACCTTTGTGTACATAAACACCCTACCCCTGCCCTCCACGGAAGCAGATCTTGTTACATCTTGTGCTTCCATCCATGTTCTCTCTCCTTTTCTGATGTCCATTAGGGGAAATGAGGAAGTATCTCCAGTTCTGTTTTAGGCCCCATCCTGGAGACAATCTAAACACATGTGGGAGAATTTTTCCTGTTAAGTAAAGAATAGAAAGAAACATGAAGCTGTGAAGTCTTTGTTTGTCAAGAGGCTTCTGATGGAAAATACAATTCACATCAGCTGCAAAGGTAAACTCATTCCACTCTACTGACTGGACAAGTATCCATTTCAAAAGAAGGTTTTAGCATACTTGGCCTGAGTAACTTATCAGATCTGGTGCCTGGGGAGAAAAACTGGGAGTGTACTTAGTGGAAGGTAAGAGGGCAGGCACGCTGACCCTGAGAGAGGAACCCTGGCACCTATAGAGTGCTAAAGAAGGCATACCAGGTATCTGTAACCTCGTCCTTGCAAGTCATGCCACCAAAACCTTTGCTAGAACAGAAGCCCCAAAAGAAAAAAGGAAGAAAGGGTAGAGAAGAGACATATGTCATGTTACACTTAATATTTATTTGAGGACTTAAAGCTGACAGAAATGATTGGAAAACAATCAAGAAAATTACGTATATAATTCATGTTTCCTGAAATCTCACTATCCAGGAATAACAAACAGAAACACATTAATTGGAATTACTTTAATCTCCTGGTTCTTGACCACATCTCTCGATGTATCTCCCTCCCCTCCAATACCAAGGAGTGAGGAGAATCTCTTATCCTGGTCTGGGTTCTTAGTAATGCCAATTACTTCTCGGCAAAAGATTTATCAGCCTCTGTCCCCAGCTCCCCCTTTTCACAGAGCTTTCCTCTTTCTTTCCCCATCATGTCCACTGACCTGCACAATTGTGCACGGTGTGTGTCCAGTGCAACTGCAAGCGTCGAAGTGTGAGAATCCTGAAGATAAACACAAACAGGACTGTGTCAGGATCCCTACTATACGCACAGTCAACCTGGGATGCCAACCTGAAAAATGTGGGTTCCAACTGGAGACCACATGCTCCTGTTTTCTCCCTTCCTGCACCACTTCTCCCATCATCTCTTTTGGGAAAGGAGGTAACTCGATGTCTAATTGCAAATTTTCCTTATGATTTACAGCACAGCTGCCTCATTACTGGTAGTCTACACCTTCTTAGGAGGCAACAAAGAGGGGGACTGACTAAAACCTTTACTATAAAAATGGTGCAGTGCCTTTGAAAAAACCGCTTAGTAGTCCCTCAGTTGGTTAAACATAGAGTCACCACCTGACCTAGCCATCTTATTCCTAGGTATATAAAGAAATGAAAACATACATTCATACATAAACCTGTACATGAATGTTTATATCAGTGTTATTCATCACAGCCAAAAGGTGGATCCATCAACTGATGAACTGATGTATTAAGTATATCTTTACAGTGAAATATTATTCATCAATGAAAAATAAAGTACTGTACATGCTACAACATAGACAAAATTTGAACATGAAAGAAGCCAGTCACAAAAGGTCATATATTGTATGATTCCATTTTATGAAATGTCCAGAGTTAGCAAATTTATGAGATAGAAAGTAGATCAGTGGTTGTCGAGGACTAGGAGGACTGGTTGTTATGCTTTGTCACTCAGTCATGTCTGACTCTTTGTGACCCCATGGACTGTAGCCTACTAGTCTCCTCTGTCCACGGAAGTTCTCCAGGCAAGAAATCAAGAATGCCCTCCTCCAGGAGATCTTCCCAACCCAGGGATCAAACCCAGGTCTCCCACATTGCAGGTGGAGTCTTTACCACCTGAGCTATCAGGGAAGCCCAAGAGGACTGGAGGTGATAGCAAGGAAGTGTAGATCTCCTCTTTGGGGTAATGAGAATGCTCTAAAACTGACTATGGTGGTGGTTGTACAGCTCTGTGAAATACTGAATTGTATAGTTTCAGTTCAGTTCAGTCTCTCAGTCGTGTCCGACTCTTTGCAACCCCATGAGACTGCAGCACACCAGGCCTCCCTGTCCATTGCCAACTCCCAGAGTCTATTCAACCTCATGTCTATTGAGTCGGTGATGCCATCCAACCATCTTATCTCCCGTTGTCTCCTTCTCCTCCTGCCTTCAGTCTTTCCCAGCATGAGGGTCTTTTCAAATAAGTCAGTTCTTCGCATCAGATGGCCAAATTATTGGAGTTTCAGCTTCAGCATCAGTCCTTCCAATGAATATTCAGGACTGATCTCCTTTAGGATGGACTGGTTGGATCTCCTTGCAGTTCAAGGGACTCTCAAGAGTCTTCTCCAAAATGGGTGAACTGTATGGTATGTGAATTATATTTCAATGTGACTGTTTAAAAAAAGAATGAGCGTCCTTGTTGTTAGTTAGTATTAATGTCAGTCGCTCAGCCGTGTCCGATTCTTTTCTGACCCCACGGACTGTAGCCCACCAGGTTCCTCTGTCCATGGGATTCTCCAGACAATAATACTGGAGTAGGTAACCATTCCCTTCTCCAGGGGATTTTCCCAAACCAAGGACTGAACTCGAGTCTCCTGCATGGCAGGCAGATCCTTTTACCATCTGAGCCCTTAGGGAACCCATCCTTGTTATAAATGTACATAAAGAAGGCAAGCTTTTCTTTCAACACCTTCTATTTTTAACCTCTAAATTTGTTGGCGCTGTGTTATGCCCTTCTTATTATTTGAATTTTAACTACCATCATTACTTTTGCACTCAAGAGACATGCTGGAGAAATTCTAT